TTTTACAGTCGTGATAGGAACGAAATGTACGAACGCATCTTGCACCAGCGGCTTGTAGTTCCTCAAACCATATCACCTTCCTGCCGAGACCTACTGCAGAAAGTTAGCATTCTGACAAAACCATTCTTCTTTGGGCTGTACAGAATGGGGGGATTGTAACTTAGTTGTTTTCCTCGCCTGGTGAAATGGAAAATACCGTTTTCATGCAAATGTTCAGTTCTTGTATGAATTTCTCAGTAGGTTTCATCTCTTCTTATTCTCGTACAATATCATTTTTTTAAGCTGCTGCAAAAGGACTGTCAGAAAAGGCTTGGTGCCGATAACGATTTTCAAGACGTCAAGGAACATGCATTCTTCACAACAATTGACTTTGAAAAATTGTTACGAAAAGAAATTAAGGCACCATTTGTACCGAAAATCAAAGACGAACTGGACATATCACACATCGATAAAGAATTTACAAGCGTGCAACCCAACCCTGGTATATTATGTTTTACAAGCCTGTAATTTGCAGTACTTCAAGCTTTTCAGCATTTGACCTTAGGATGAGCGTGTTAGGCTTGAAATTGTTTCTCACTGGGCAACTCACACTGTTCTATGAAACTTAATTGTTTTTGCCTTCGGTGGCATGACAGTGTAGCTTTTTCCATTTTTCAGGTTCATTAATACCAGCAATGACACTTGGTACGCACCAAGATGCCGATTTTCTTGGCTTCAGCTATGCTGCGCAGTAGCTGAAGGGATGAAATATGAAGTTGTCAAAAACAGTGTCCACTTTAAACAGATTATGTGACTGTAAAGTGTTTGTCGTTGTGATCTTCACCGGATATACAGTTAACAAATTGTTATTACATTTTAGCCCTGATTGTATTATACATTAGTATTCTTCTTGTCCTAGACATTAAACTTCTTATGAAACGGGTAAAAATAAAGATTTCTACTTTTTTTTCCAGTATTTGTTTAGTAGTCAAGTCCTGTTCTTATGCACACAAGAAATTTCCTGTCAAATAATAGCTGAATATTCCGTCTGCTTAGACTGTATTACAGCAGCAACGAAGTTTCTGCAGTTTCGTAATTTCCGTTTGTTGATTTTTTAACCAAATTTTCTACGTATGAAACATTAGCAAGTTTTTCTGATACAAGCAAACGGATACAAG